TTAGGATCATTAAATATTCAAGAATTTTTTGCTATCAGCCAAATGGGCCTGTGAATGTACCTTCCTTTCAATTTCAGCCGGTAGGGTTCACTATCCTGTTCACGCCCCATTGGGCTATTATAACTTAACTTCGACCCAACTGGGATCCAATAAAACCATTTCTAGCCCATTGGGAACTTAAAACTCAATACTGGACTTGCAGAACTGGTCTGTAGTAAGCATGAGGAAAGAAAATGGAGTTTGTGAGATGTATTGGTTTTAGAAGAAAAAAAGAATAAGGTGAGTGAAAGGCTTACCGCTTGGAGAAGGGAGGAGTAGCTCAAGGACAAGTTTGCTGCGACGGAGTTGCTCGCTATTCTCTCTCTCTCACTCTCTTTCTCTCTCGAGTGTTTGTTTTTTCAGGTTGTAAAACAAAAATGGGATAAATGAAGAGAAATTGAGGTTTAAAGAGGAAGAGAAGTTGCAACGTGATAAGTTAGATCACATGCATGGAAGCACGGTCGTTTATCGACTTAGTGGTTGACCGTGCATGGCTAAAAACTTCTAAGTGGTAGCTTGCTGCAGCGGAGGAGAAAAAGCGGCTTGGTTGACCAGTGGTCGGTTAGGGTGAGTGGACGTGTTTGTCGCGTGCATGCGAGCCCTTTCATGCGGGCAAAGGGGGTTTCCGCGAGGCGTTCCTTTGGGTTTTTACCGTGAGGCTTGCTCACAAAGTGTTTTTCTTTCCTTATTTTGTTTGTTTTGTCTTGTTTTTCATTTCTAAATTTTAAAATATTTATTCACACACATGTACATAAAATTTAAGCCAAATTTAAAATTTTGAATAATTTTAAATATAGAATTTCAAGTTTTAATAAGAAATTTCAGGGTTTCACACGCGTCTTCTTTATAGGGACTTGCACGTTAGTCTCAAGACTCTAGGAATAGTCCTAAAAGAATTACTCTTTCTTTGTCTCTTCAAAGGTTTTCCATCACAACAAGGCGGTTACACTACTTTTGTGTAACATCCCGCAACTAGGTCTCCTGGTGGCATTCAAGATAAGATCTAAAAGTAGAAATCTCTTTGAAAATGGCTTCGAAGTGACTTAGGTGCACTTTAGTTAATTAGAAATTAAAGAAATAAATCGGGGCTGTTTTTGGGAATATATCGAGAAATAAATCGAAAAACAATTAGGAGAACACTGATAATGGGGGGACATGTAGTTTTGGGGTTTCGGAGTAAGGAGAGAAGTCCTCAAACCGCAAGGGGGAGAAATTTCCCTAACCCTAAAAGGTAATACCCTAGGTGAGGAGTTCAAGGGAAGAGAGAATTTTCCCTCAACTTACGGACTCCACACAAACACCTTGGGCAAGGTTCACGGGAAGGGGAGCATGTTCCTCAACCCGCAATGTCTTCCTAGGTCAAGTCACGGGAGGGGAAGAATTTCCATCCTGCGAGGAAGCCTTGGACTGTACGGGCACGCGGGCAAATGTTCCTTTTAGCCCACACCCCTTGTGCTTGGTTTTGGCCAAGGGAAGGGAATTATTTTCAAAGCAGCAAATCTGCCCACAGGTGCACTTTGCTCTGGCCTACCGGGGGCGTGTTAGCTGTGAGACTTCGACCTGAGACCTTTCAATTTCTTTCATGAGTGGAATCCAACTGTCCCTCTTGTGGCAGCAGATATTGACCACCTTTCATGCCAGCTTTTACTGTCGCAAGCTTCCTTTCACCAAGTTGTCGGCCATTTTCCTCTTCAATGGCCTGATTGCATTACATGCAATCCAATAGTTCCAATTCCACCAAATTTCACGTAAAAGCCTTCCTCGTCATTCTGCTTTTTCTTCTATTTCCTTCGGTGAGTTAGAGAGAAAGTTGAGAGTGAGAAACAGAGGCGAATTAGATAAAGAATTGAGAGAAATAATCGAGTTTTAGGAGAGAAACCCAGAGACGGGGGTGTACGTGTGCGTGCGAACGGGATAGTGGGAAGCATGGCTTCTTCCCGTGTGAGTTAAACCTTCTTCTACTATTTTCCGGTAGTTCAGACATTCCTCTCATCCATCACATCGTTCATTTTAACCTAGCTTCACGAGTCTCGTTTTAGGTTCGACAGAAGTCCTCTTTGCAACCAAAACAGAGCCAAGGAGGGAACTGCTTCTTTCCTTTGTTTTCTAGCTGTTCCTTTTCAGTTTCATTCCAGTTCTAGATTAGGAATAGTTACTTTTGGTCCTAGGATAACCCTTAATTGAATCCTTACGGTGTAATCATCCCAAAACTCGGAGATTCAACCCAGAAACTGTCATACACCGCTGCTACTGCACTAGTGCGCTGTAGAGGAGGAATCGTCTTCCTTCAGATTTAAGGTGAGCTTATTTCTCTTCTAGAGCTTTGTCTCTTCTTCCTTTTACTTCTAATAATCTTCTTCATGCAAATCTAGCCTCCCAAATCGTGCAGCAAGCTTCAAACAGAAGCGTTCCCCTGTTGCTGTCAACTGAACGCCTACTGCAGGTAGGTGAGCTTTTCCTGTCTTTTCTGCCCTTCTTCTTCAGTTTCCTTTCAATAAGTAAGTGGTTAGGGATATATTTATGTGTTAGGAACCTGACCCAATGATTGCATGTAGTAGATTCTCTTGAAAACATTGCAGAATCATTTATAACTCACTCAACTTTGTAGACGCTGTCATGGCATGTTGTAGAAAATTTCTTAATGTTTGGGAACAAATGGCTCGTGCGTTTAGCTTCAAGCTTGGTTTCCATCAAGGTAAGGATAGTGTTAGTTTACTGGATATAAATAATTGGTTTTCTAGAAGCATTTAGAAGGCAAATATTTTGAAAAATCCTCAGACAGTGTTGTTTTAAATGAATGTAGAAGAGTGGGTGTGTTCATGCTATTTTTGGTGGATTTAATTGGTATTTTGAACGTTTTTCTCTGATGGATTGTGTTTCTTATTGTCGTTTAATATTATTGAGTGAATATTGGTGAATTGCAAAAGCAAAAATGAAGGAAAACAGTGAGGAACGGCAGAGGAGGCCACTGCCTCTATCTGCGACGTGTGCAGGCACAGAAGTGATAGGAAGACACGCAGACACGGTCTGTCGTGTATGGGTGCGCATGTGACGCTATCCAGGCACCCAAAAGTGTTGGGGCAAGTCCCCTAGAACACTATGTACATGCAGCAAACTGTGTGTAGGGGAAGGACAGTGTCAAGAACCCTTGCTATCCGATAGTGTCCTATCAGAGGCACCGTGCGTACCTTGTGAGCAGTGCACGCAAGGGCACCAATCTTGGCACCAAAGTGTGCCCAAGGTTTATTGTAACACTTCAAAAACTTTCGTGCTTAAATTTGTAATGTGAACCCTTAAATATTACGTATTTTTAATTTTTCGGATGAATATTATATTCCATATTTTGAATTTCTTATTTTATTTAGTTGAATAATTTCTAAAATTAACTATTTTATTTTATTGTAGGAAAAATTATGTTTTATTATTTAAATAGATTTTAGGGAAAAACGAAGAAAAAGACAAAAAATCCTGCAAGAAGGATCCTATCTGTGTGGGCTTCGCACGCCGCTTGCGCGTGCGCGTGCACAGCTAGTGCACGACGTGCGCACTGTGTGCATGTCCCGTTCACATGGGGTACGAGGCGCGAGGGTGTGGTGTGCATACGCGTCCCATCGCGTGCAAACAGGCACAGCTCCATGCACCTTGTGAGCGTACCGTCTGCGCGGGAGGCCTGCGCACATAGCTTGTGCAAGTTAGGTCTGCACACAACGCCTTTT